CGTGAGCTCACTGCAGCAAGGCGTGCGCTCACTGCAGCAAGGCGTGAGCTCACTGCAGCAACGCGTGAGCTCACTGCAGCAAGGCGTGAGCTCACTGCAGCAACGCGTGAGCTCACTGCAGCAAGGCGTGAGCTCACTGCAGCAAGGCGTGAGCTCACTGCAGCAACGCGTGAGCTCACTGCAGCAACGCGTGAGCTCACTGCAGCAACGCGTGAGCTCACTGCAGCAAGGCGTGAGCTCACAGCAGCAAGGCGTGAGCTCACTGCAGCAAGGCGTGAGCTCACTGCAGCAAGGCGTGAGCTCACTGCAGCAAGGCGTGCGCTCACTGCAGCAAGGCGTGAGCTCACTGCAGCAACGCGTGAGCTCACTGCAGCAAGGCGTGAGCTCACTGCAGCAACGCGTGAGCTCACTGCAGCAAGGCGTGAGCTCACTGCAGCAAGGCGTGAGCTCACTGCAGCAACGCGTGAGCTCACTGCAGCAACGCGTGAGCTCACTGCAGCAAGGCGTGAGCTCACTGCAGCAAGGCGTGAGCTCACTGCAGCAAGGCGTGCGCTCACTGCAGCAAGGCGTGAGCTCACTGCAGCAACGCGTGAGCTCACTGCAGCAAGGCGTGAGCTCACTGCAGCAACGCGTGAGCTCACTGCAGCAAGGCGTGAGCTCACTGCAGCAAGGCGTGAGCTCACTGCAGCAACGCGTGAGCTCACTGCAGCAACGCGTGAGCTCACTGCAGCAACGCGTGAGCTCACTGCAGCAAGGCGTGAGCTCACAGCAGCAAGGCGTGAGCTCACTGCAGCAAGGCGTGAGCTCACTGCAGCAAGGCGTGAGCTCACTGCAGCAAGGCGTGCGCTCACTGCAGCAAGGCGTGAGCTCACTGCAGCAACGCGTGAGCTCACTGCAGCAAGGCGTGAGCTCACTGCAGCAACGCGTGAGCTCACTGCAGCAAGGCGTGAGCTCACTGCAGCAAGGCGTGAGCTCACTGCAGCAACGCGTGAGCTCACTGCAGCAACGCGTGAGCTCACTGCAGCAAGGCGTGAGCTCACTGCAGCAAGGCGTGAGCTCACTGCAGCAAGGCGTGCGCTCACTGCAGCAAGGCGTGAGCTCACTGCAGCAACGCGTGAGCTCACTGCAGCAAGGCGTGAGCTCACTGCAGCAACGCGTGAGCTCACTGCAGCAAGGCGTGAGCTCACTGCAGCAAGGCGTGAGCTCACTGCAGCAACGCGTGAGCTCACTGCAGCAACGCGTGAGCTCACTGCAGCAAGGCGTGAGCTCACTGCAGCAAGGCGTGAGCTCACTGCAGCAAGGCGTGAGCTCACTGCAGCAAGGCGTGCGCTCACTGCAGCAAGGCGTGAGCTCACTGCAGCAACGCGTGAGCTCACTGCAGCAACGCGTGAGCTCACTGCAGCAAGGCGTGAGCTCACTGCAGCAATGCGTGAGCTCACTGCAGCAACGCGTGAGCTCACTGCAGCAATGCGTGAGCTCACTGCAGCAAGGCGTGAGCTCACTGCAGCAAGGCGTGAGCTCACTGCAGCAAGGCGTGAGCTCACTGCAGCAAGGCGTGAGCTCACTGCAGCAAGGCGTGCGCTCACTGCAGCAACGCGTGAGCTCACTGCAGCAACGCGTGAGCTCACTGCAGCAAGGCGTGAGCTCACTGCAGCAAGGCGTGAGCTCACTGCAGCAAGGCGTGAGCTCACTGCAGCAAGGCGTGAGCTCACTGCAGCAACGCGTGAGCTCACTGCAGCAAGGCGTGAGCTCACTGCAGCAAGGCGTGAGCTCACTGCAGCAACGCGTGAGCTCACTGCAGCAACGCGTGAGCTAACTGCAGCAACGCGTGAGCTCACTGCAGCAAGGCGTGAGCTCACTGCAGCAATGCGTGAGCTCACTGCAGCAACGCGTGAGCTCACTGCAGCAATGCGTGAGCTCACTGCAGCAAGGCGTGAGCTCACTGCAGCAAGGCGTGAGCTCACTGCAGCAAGGCGTGAGCTCACTGCAGCAAGGCGTGAGCTCACTGCAGCAACGCGTGAGCTCACTGCAGCAACGCGTGAGCTCACTGCAGCAAGGCGTGAGCTCACTGCAGCAAGGCGTGAGCTCACTGCAGCAACGCGTGAGCTCACTGCAGCAACGCGTGAGCTCACTGCAGCAAGGCGTGAGCTCACTGCAGCAACGCGTGAGCTCACTGCAGCAACGCGTGAGCTCACTGCAGCAAGGCGTGAGCTCACTGCAGCAAGGCGTGAGCTCACTGCAGCAAGGCGTGAGCTCACTGCAGCAAGGCGTGAGCTCACTGCAGCAAGGCGTGAGCTCACTGCAGCAACGCGTGAGCTCACTGCAGCAACGCGTGAGCTCACTGCAGCAAGGCGTGAGCTCACTGCAGCAAGGCGTGAGCTCACTGCAGCAACGCGTGAGCTCACTGCAGCAACGCGTGAGCTCACTGCAGCAACGCGTGAGCTCACTGCAGCAAGGCGTGAGCTCACTGCAACAACGCGTGAGCTCACTGCAGCAAGGCGTGAGCTCACTGCAGCAAGGCGTGAGCTCACTGCAGCAAGGCGTGAGCTCACTGCAGCAAGGCGTGAGCTCACAGCAGCAACGCGTGAGCTCACTGCAGCAACGGGTGAGCTAACTGCAGCAACGCGTGAGCTCACTGCAGCAACGCGTGAGCTCACTGCAGCAAGGCGTGAGCTCACTGCAGCAAGGCGTGAGCTCACTGCAGCAACGCGTGAGCTCACTGCAGCAACGCGTGAGCTAACTGCAGCAAGGCGTGAGCTCACTGCAGCAACGCGTGAGCTCACTGCAGCAAGGCGTGAGCTCACTGCAGCAACGCGTGAGCTCACTGCAGCAAGGCGTGAGCTCACTGCAGCAACGCGTGAGCTCACTGCAGCAAGGCGTGAGCTCACTGCAGCAAGGCGTGAGCTCACTGCAGCAACGCGTGAGCTCACTGCAGCAACGCGTGAGCTCACTGCAGCAACGCGTGAGCTCACTGCAGCAAGGCTTGAGCTCACTGCAGCAAGGCGTGAGCTCACTGCAGCAAGGCGTGAGCTCACAGCAGCAACGCGTGAGCTCACTGCAGCAACGGGTGAGCTAACTGCAGCAACGCGTGAGCTCACTGCAGCAACGCGTGAGCTCACTGCAGCAAGGCGTGAGCTCACTGCAGCAAGGCGTGAGCTCACTGCAGCAACGCGTGAGCTCACTGCAGCAACGCGTGAGCTAACTGCAGCAACGCGTGAGCTCACTGCAGCAACGCGTGAGCTCACTGCAGCAACGCGTGAGCTCACTGCAGCAAGGCGTGAGCTCACTGCAGCAAGGCGTGAGCTCACTGCAGCAAGGCGTGAGCTCACTGCAGCAAGGCGTGCGCTCACTGCAGCAAGGCGTGAGCTCACTGCAGCAACGCGTGAGCTCACTGCAGCAACGCGTGAGCTCACTGCAGCAAGGCGTGAGCTCACTGCAGCAAGGCGTGAGCTCACTGCAGCAAGGCGTGAGCTCACAGCAGCAAGGCGTGAGCTCACTGCAGCAAGGCGTGAGCTCACTGCAGCAAGGCGTGAGCTCACTGCAGCAAGGCGTGAGTTCACTGCAGCAAGGCGTGCGCAATAATCTGCAAGTGCGCTGCCGCAACAAGCAGCGCACAAGCCACCAGCGCGCGGCGCGCTGCAAGGTGCCACCGCGTTAGGCGCCAGCGCGCTAGGCGCCAGCGCGCTAGGCGGGATCGCCTTAGGCGCCCGCGCGCTAGGCGCCAGCGCGCTAGGCGCCCGCGCGCTAGGCGCCAGCGCGTTAGGCGCCAGTGCGCTTGGCGCCAGCGCGCTAGGTGCCAGCGCAGCAAGCGCCAGCGCGCAAGGCGCCAGCGCAGCAAGCGCAAGCGCGCCAGGCGCCAGCGCGCAAGGCACCAGCGCGCTAGTCGCCAGCGCGTTAGGCGCCAGCGTCCCAAGCAATTGCTTGAGGCGCCAGCGCCTTACGCGCCAGCACTTGCGTGGCAATGCGTCAGGCGTCAGGGCGAAAGCCGCCAGCGACCTGGGCGCCAGCGGCCTATGCGACCGTTCTAGACGCTAGCGTGGCGCTAGCGCGATAGGCGCCAGCGTGATGGACGCCAGCGCATTATCATGACTGCATACCTTTTTCACGTCGCTTCTTTTTCACAATTCTTAACTCACAGGTACTTTAGTTGGCGCTTTTCAGTCTGCCTATTTGAAGCGCTTCTCACGGGGCGGCGCTTCACCGTGGTTTGACGACGGTTGTCACGGGCGCTGTCGACAGAGGCTGAACTAAGCACTAAATGGAGACTAAAGTTGACTAGCAGGTGTCGAGGGATTTCGGTTCTTGATTTGCAGCATAGAGCAGGTGGGGGTTCTTGATTTTCGCTTGTGCGGTGGTCTGTTCTCCAACTGGTCAGAAGGAAATGTTTTCTTGAACCATGTACCAAAATGCTTCAAAGTTTCAGGAAATTTCTGGAGGGCAACTAGATCTGTACTCCTTTATCACGCCTAAAATAAAAACCAGGAAAACAAAACGAAAACTTCCCGCGTGCGAGCACGTGAAAAATACAACTCGACAAATTCAATTCTGGCACGTGAACAATGAGTTATAACAGCTAGATAACACAAAAAACAAAATACCCTAATATAAGTATGAATATAAATCTTGACAGATACTTATTGGTCTTTACATATCCCCTTAATGTAATGGCATTAATAACAAAATCATGACAGTTTCAATAAGATGCAGAAATAGAGTCAATTGGTATTACATTATCCTTCCAAACGTTTATTGTAATAAGTATGTGACGCATAATATAGCCTATGCGATACTGCTTAATATAACATATACATAAGCTAGCATTTTTATGCGGCACTTATTTGAAAACATTGCTCCTACGCAACCCATACGCCGCTCAACGGCGAGCCTTGTTTTTTTTTTTTTTAGTGAAAGCTTACACAATAGTACAAGCAAAACACTTCAGTCGTAACTGATGAACTGGGATCAGGCTGGCGGGGTCCCGCCCGGCCCTCCCCACAGCTTTACGGGGGTTTCACAAAAGTTCTCGGGTTCGTCCAGATGGACTGAAAGCTACCCTGCCACTTCAGGCCCACCGCCTCGTTGTCACATATCCGCCGCATGACACGTGCCTCATCCTCCGCCAAGTTCCACCTCGCCTTATCCTTCCTAGCCTTCCTGCTCGGTTTGCCACAGTAGATTCTCACATGCTTGTTGAACTCAACGTTAATCCTCCGGAGCACCTTCCGTGCCTGAAATTTCTTCACTTTGCGAAGCGACACCTCGCACCTTCCCAGCCACACCTGGTGCATCGCCACTGCCACCATAGTAGCCTCGGGAAAGCCGGATTTTGTCCCTTCTTCCCCGAAAACGAGGTCTGCCAGCCTGTCCACCTGCCTCTTTGGCTGCATCATGTTGAGCGCCGATTTGACAGCTCGAACCACTGGTGTTACACTCCTGCATTCAAGCAAACAGTGCTCCAAAGTCTCCACCTGCCCACAGTTCGGGCATGCCACCCCACTTTTCACGAAAGGGACCCTCTCCCCCACCTGTAGATTGAGGTTGTGCACTCGGAGGAGCACATCTCTCGCTCTGGCCGGAACGACCAGAGAGTCCCGTATCTTCCTGCTCCTCTCCCAGTCAACTTTCTTGTCTGCACGAGCCTCCCAGTCTTGCCTTTTCACCTCCACCGCCTCTGCCCCCTTATTTGGCTCCTTGAGCTCCCTGACTGAAGCCACCTCCTCATCTCTGAATAGCTTCGAGTTGAGCAACCGCACCCTTGGGTCTCCAGCTTCCCGTATCGCCCGTTTGTTCGACAATTTCGTCGGCACCACACTGTCGCAGCAAAGTACTATCTTCACATCCCATGCCATGCGCTCCCCTTTGCCGCTGAGCCCCCGAAGCTCCACCTTCCTACCCAGCTTGTTGCAGATTTCCCAGAGACACCTCTGCCCACCTGGGAGTCTGGTGCTGACCAACGATGACTCAGCTGCAACCTCTTCCGCTGTCATCGGCGTCAGTACCCACTGTCGCCACCGCTCCGGTGCCGCATTAAACGCCTTTAGTGCCATCTCCGCCTCCTTTTTTCCTCCCAACTCCCTAACCAACAACACCTCCGGCTTGATCGTCCTTGTCCCGTCCCATTTCCTCAGTACCATGTCGCTCATACGCCATGTTCTTAGCTTCTCCGTGCCCTTCTGCCCGCCAAAAGGGGCGTTGCCACGATGGATAATGCTTTTGTTGTAGCACAGAAACTCCCCCTCTGCCTCCCATCTTGATGCCACTTCTGGTACCTCCACCATCGTTGATTTCAGGACTATTTTACACAGCCTCGCCCACCTTCGGCTTTTAATCAGCCCCCCTTTCAGCACCGCCTTGTGCGCATACAGCGTCGCCCATCCGAGAGGTAAGCCCGCCGCTCTCTCCGACAAGCCCCGTCTCAGTGAACACTCTTGCTTCAGCACCAGTCCCGCGCACCTTAATGCCACACCGTCAACCCTTCCTCTTGGACCTAAAACCCCCAAACCCCCTTGCTCTCTCGTCGTGTATATCAGGTCCCCACTCCAGAGCCTGAAGTGCCGCTCAGTGTCTGCATGGTTCCCAGACACAAAATTTTCAACCAGCTTCTCTACCCTTCGCCACAGCAAGTCGTCCGGCGGATAGACCTGCGCCTGAAAGAGGAAGATCGGCAGAACATAGCTGTTGATAATGGTCACTCGCCCTCCAGTCGTAAGGTACTTGGTGCTCCACTTGCTCAGCTCTCCCGCTGCTCTGTCAAAGGCTTTTCCCCACGTTGCCTCTGCATCGCCCCCGGGAGATATCCATACCCCCAGCAGCCTTTCAGCTTCATTTGCCCCCACCCACTTGTACTCCGTACCATGCGGCGCCTGTGACCCCACATTTCTTCCCAACGGCAGGACCGCGGATTTTCCTTTGTTCACCCTCAGTCCTGACGCCTCCGCAAACTCTTGCAACATCACACCCGCATCCTTCAGCTGCTGCTCTCCTTCCAGCAACAAGGTCGTATCGTCTGCGTACCCCACATACGACAGCCTGTCACAGCCACCTTCTCCGATCCCCAGTCCCCTTCTCTCCGCAAGTCGACACAACGGCTCTACCGCACACAAGAAAAGGTACGGTGCCAATGGACACCCCTGCCGCACCCCTTTTTTCATCGAGATCTGCTCCCCTACCCATCCGTTAACGCATAGTCGTGTGTGGACGTCACTGTGCAGGGCTTCTATCCACCTGATGAACTTTGGCGGGAAGCCGAGCTCTGCTACCGTCTCAACCATGAAGCCCCTGCGTACAGAGTCGTACGCCTTCTCAAAGTCAATCAACAGTAAGTACCAGTCGTTGTTCCCATTTCGCCCTGCCTCTATCATGTCTGCCACCATCGATACTGCATCTGACAGCCTTCTCCCAGGAAGAAAACCGTACTGCTCCTTTGATATAACCTGGCCCAACACCGCCTTCATCCTTGTCGCCACCACTTTCGCCAGGAGTTTGTATACCCCTGAAAGCAGCGTGATCGGTCTGTAATTCTTAATATCCGTCTCAGCCCCCTTCTTGTACAGCAAAATCGTGACCGCCTTGTTTGCCACATCAGGCAACTTTCCCGACCCAACGAAGTCCTTGATCATCTTCATCATTGGCTCACGCAGCAACTCCCAGTGCCTTTGAAACAGTTCCTTAGGTAAACCATCACGTCCCGGCGACTTATCATTGGCTAACTCTTGGAGCGCCTGCTTAACCTCCTGTTCCGACCAATCCCTCTCCAGGCCCTCTGCGACCACCACGTCCAACTTCTTCCTTGGCGTCCAGTCCAGCTCTGGCTCAGCTCCTTTTGCCGGCACGTCGTCAAAGACTTCCGCAAAATGACTTGTCGCCGCTTCCAGTATTTCCCGAGCCTCCGTATGACTGACTCCATTCCTCACCAGCTCTTTAATCCCCGTTCTTGCCTTTCTGCTTTTGACCAGCGCTGTCAGGAAGCTTGTTGGTGCTTCCCCATCCAACTGCACTTTTAATCCGGCTCTTAACTGCATAAAATTCCTCCTCCCGTCCCAGTATCTTTGCAGCATCGCCTCTCTACTGGTCAACAACGCCTGCGCCTCATCATCGTATGGATTCGCCATCGCCTGATGTTGTAACCGTTCTACTTGCTCCTCCAGAATACGCGTCGTGACCTTCACCCGCCTTTTCTCCTCTTTATCATACTTCCGCAGTTGCGCAGTCAAGCTCCTAGTTAGCCGGTCGAAGTCTCCGCTGCCTCCTTCACGATGCTTCCGGACCACCTCCGCAACCACTTTTATCACCCCTGGACGCTTCAGCATCTTCGCCGGAAAGCGCCATAGACCTGGTCCTGACTCACGCGGGCCCTTCCACCCGAGCCTCATCCTCACCGCAAATTTGTGATCAGAGATCCCTGTCGGTATCTTCTTGTGCTTCACCCCCGCCACCAGGTGCAACAAGGACTGGGATACCAGCATCCTGTCTATCCTCGAGCTGACCTTTGCTGACTTGCAGAAAAACGTGAATTGCCTCTCATCCGGAAACAACTCCCGAAACACATCCCTAGCATGGAAATCCCCCAACATCTGCATCATTCGGCAGTTATCTCCTGTCACCCCTTGCCTGTTTGACCTATCCAGTAAGGGGTCCTCAATCATGTTGAAATCCCCTGCAACCACAAGGTCTTCTCCCCTTGGCAGGCTCTTCGCGACATCCTGGAAGGCGGCTCCTAAGAAACTTCCTCTCGGCGACGGCTGCGCAGGGAAGTACACCGCAAGCACCCGCAGCACCCTCGGACCCCAACGTAAACGCGCATGCAACAGTCTTCCCGACGCGTGCCGCTGTACGTCTTCTATCTGCACTCCATCTTTGAAACTTAGGATGGCCAGCCCTCCTGCTCTGGTAGGTGCTGCCACCGCAACCATGCTGCTGGGCCTCAACTCCGACCATAGGTTATGATCTTCCGCTAATCTAGTGTCCGCCATTATCACTATGTCTGCCGCTGTCCTTATCCATCGTTTTATTACTTGCTGCTTCCCTAGGCTGCCCATGCCGTTGACATTCAGGGACATGACTGATAACCGGTTGTTATCCATTATTTAACTTCTACTGTTGCCCCCACGCATCCACAGGGCGGTGTTACATCAGCTCTCGGTGATACATTACACCCGTTGATACACTGCATGGTGCAACTCCTCCTACCCCTAACTCCACACTGTGCTTGAGCCCCTACATATCCAGCAGGTACACCCTTCAACACTTGATATCCCCTCACTGTCACACCCCGAACTCCTTCTTCGCCGCAGTCAGGTTGACCCCTGCCTTGGAGAGACGCGTAGCCAAGCCTGACCCCAGGCCATCGCTGTGCCGCTGAGAAATCACATGTTCCGCTGCCTGTGCGAAAGACACCCCACTCGCCTTCTCGCAAATTTCCTGGACGCAGATCCACTCCTCGCGATTCCCTCCGGTTGATATCAACACGACGGCAGGGTCCTTCAGAATGAGCCTGGTCAGATCTGTGATCCTGACTGAGGCGGCTGCGCGGAGTCGGTACACCCACAACATTAGCACCATAACAACGTGGAGACAGCAAATAAGAAAGCGACAGATAAGTCAAAACCCCACCCCCTCCATTACCATTGATCCCATGAACCCGTCCCAACGACAGGCTCCAGTTGCTGATGTTATTCTGTCTATTTGACACGTACTCGTCATGGTACCTCGTCATATGGTACCCCGAGCAATAGACACAGTTCAGCGACGGGTAGTGCACGAGCAGTTGCTTGTCATGAGAGGTCGGGTCCTCAATCTTGTGACGCCAGCGATACTTGTCCCCCACGTGCTGCCTAACAAGCCCTTTGACCTTGTCGGTATCCATCCCCGTGACAGGATTAACCACACGATGGAAGCAACTTCCTTCTTTGAAAGCCGAACGGCCGCGCTTCTCCAATTTCACCGTCGTCAGCATATCGCAGAGCATCTCGGGAGTAATCACCGCATCCACCCCCTTAAACAAAACCTCAACCAGCAGCGGAACAGCCGCGCGCGCCTTGACATAGGCCGGATCCACCGGGTGCTGCCAGTCCAAGTTGATCTTCTTTCCGTCAACACAGGTATGCACAACCCCGTGCTTCCAGACAAAGTTAGCGTCACGAGCCCGATCAAAGGTAACCTGCAGCCTCCAGTACTGCTTCTTGTTCAGGAACACCGCCGTCAGCTCCTGAAACTTCGTCGTCGATTGTATCTCCATGTGCAGGTCCTTCTTCCAACCATTGAAGAGCGTACGAAGCGTCGCCTGCACCCGCGTGGTCTCCGGCTTGTAGGCAATCAGGATCAGCAGGATTATAGCGAAACGGATCCTCTGCGCGACTTCGCTCTTCGCCTGTGTATCATAACGCTCCTCCGGATCGTCGCTCAGGTAGCCGTCATCCTCGTCGTCGCCAGCACCCTTTGCAGAAGTGTTTGCCAGCGCAACCTTCTCCTCTTGCTGGTTGTCCTTTGTGACCCCGCTACCAGCGTGAGTCTTATCACCATTGTCCTCTGTCGCCTGCTTGTCATCCCGACTAGCATTGACCAAGTCATGAGCCGCCTCCTTTACTTCACGTGACGACCCTGCAGGTTGGAGAGCTTCCTTGTCAGCTTCCGTAAACAGATCCATCGTTCTCTTAACCGCCGAGGTTGCTGAAGGAGCCACGACCACCGGCACCTCCTTTGTCTTGTCCAGAAGATTACCAGCGGCGTTATCAGTGGGTCGAGTCCCCCCATTCCTGGTCGTCATCCTGGACATTGCGTAACGATAACACAGCGTGAAAACAAGGCCTCTGTGAAACAGAGACCTCCGTCTGATCGTAGCAATTGCTCCATTGCGATCGTTATTTGTAGCTTTGAACTTGAAACACCTTGAACTTGATAGCCTTGATAAGAGCCTGGACACGCAATCTGGGAGTGCATAGGCAGCCAATGAAGGCCGAGGCCAAGCCCCTACTTGGCGTCCTTGTAGATGTGCAGAATGACAAGTGGCGCTCCTAGATATTAGCGCGTCAAACAGCTTTGGAGAGTCCCGTGGTCCCTTGAGGTTAGTAGCTGACATAAAATCAGGAAACCGAAAAACAACTGGTACAATGTCCGTCAGTTGGACACGAGAAGTGTACCAATAGGTTCGTAACGGAAAGGCGGTTCCGAATCTATGCGCAATGTTACCAACCGACACCAGTCCTTCACGAACGAGCTCTAGGAAGCCATCTGGCGGAATCCATGGCGGAGCCATCGTATTGCCTGAAGTATCTGGTGATGCAATGAAGGCGGGAAAATGTTTTTGGTAAGATCTTGGAACTCGATATTGAGCGTAGTGCAATGTTATGATTGTTGATGGACGGAGAGCAGGGAAAGGAATATTTTTCCTCAAGTTTGATTGCTTCCTTTGCTGTTGAGTGGTTTTGTGGGGGATGGTGGGGAGTTAATTACATGGAAAAGCTGTCAATAGTGCTAGTCACAACCACTACCTCTTGTCAGAATTTGATGTTTGTCTAGCCTGCAGTGGGGTACTCTATAGCGAGTACAAACCAATTAGGGTTTCCTAAATGTATCTCAACTGCTGCTAGTGAAAACCCCTCTTTTCTGTTTCTTGTTTTCGCCTGCTGTTTCGTCACCTCTGTTGAAGCTCACTATCACGAGCAGATGTGTGCCTTGCTACACCATCCTAAGGCAAATCTTACCTCCCTCCCGCAAGTTAAAATTCAACGGCGAGCCGACTGCCCCATTTCCCACTAATAAGAAATTATGAGCATTACACGAATTAGCCAGGTGATGGAGTACACAAAACCAGATCTATAAAACTGACGACCAAGATGACATGAAGATTGTCTTTGCCAACCCTGCCTCTCCTGTAAAAAATAACGTGTACATGAGAAAAGTACAAGTATAGGTCTAGTCCTAAAGTGTTGTACTCAGTAGTGGCTACCCCACTACAACCTACAAATATAGAAACGCATTTGACACACCCCGATAGGCAAAGCGAGGGATAGCAAGAACAACCAACAGTCACAAGACCAGTCAAGCAAGAGAACTAAGCGAAGCAAAGCTCAGGGTGGATCTCAAAATCACCATGCAGTCTTAGCACAAGCAAGTGGCCACAAGGCCAGCTCACATGCAGAGTTATAAAATCACAAGGAATACAGTGATCACAACCTGGCAAGAGCAAGCATGCATGTATATACATATCACAGTCCAAGACAGGGTCAAGTAACCAACATGCAAGGCAGAGTAGGCACAAGGCCTAGAGCAGTGCAGAAACGATGATGATTACGGGACCCAAGGGCCTTGGATGAAGACATCAGCAGTGTTAGCCCGAGAGGCAACGTAAGCAAGGCGCAGCTGACCACGCCGCTGCAACTCTCGAGCAAGAAACTAACAAAAAGCAATGTGCTTTGTTCTGTGCTCAAGTCTCTGCTCTTGGCACAAGGCAATCATGTCCTGGTTGTCCACGTCGGACAATGAGGAGGAGAATGAGGCCGCTCACCCAAGTCGGTTAGCAGGTAGGTCAGTCAGCGTAATTCCTGTGCAGCCATAGCCCGAGCCTAGATCTCGGCCTCACAGCTAGAATCAAGCACAAAAGGCGAACAAGTAGACCTCCACGAGACAGAACCAGGGTCGAGACTGAAAGAGTAACCCTGTGACGACCGCTGAATTGCCTAGTCGTCGGCCCAAGAAGCGTCGGGGCGTCCTATAAGTACCACTAGACCCCGTTCTGTCAGAATCAACGAGCAGGAATGAATGAACTAGAATGAAGTTGGGTACAAGTATGAAACCCTAAAGGGGCTATACCCCATATTGGCTACCCCACTACAGCCTAGACATTTATAGCATATATATAATTTGACACGCCCCCATAGGCAAAGTGGGGGAGAGCAAGGGGTCACAAGACCAGTCAAGAGAAGCAAAGCAAGCTAAGGGTGGATCACAACGTCACCACATTCACTGAGCACAAGCAAAGGGCCACAAGGCCAGTTCACATGTAGAGATATATATGCAACAACAACAGCACAGTAATCATTGCCTAGCAAGAGTAAGCATGCAGTTATATATACATATATATATATATATCACAGTACAAGAAAGTCTAAAGCAAGTGGGGAAACATAGGCACAAGGCCTAACAAAGTACAAAAACGCTGATGATCACTAGACGGAAGTGCCTTGGCGAATATATCAGCAGTGTTGGCCTGAGTGGTCACGTGAGCAAGACGAAGGTGACCACGCTGCTGCAACTCTCGAGCAAGGAAGTAACGCAAAGTGATGTGCTTCGTTTTGTGCTCCAATCTGTGCTCCTGACACAATGCAGTGGCGGCCTTGTTGTCTATGTACAGAATTGGAGGAGAACAAGGCCGCTCTCCTAGGTCGGTCAGCAACTAGGTGAGCCAGAGTGACTCCGGTGCAGCCATGGATGTGGCGTAGATCTCAGCCTCACAACTGGAGCTGAGAACAGAAGACGAGCGTGTAGACCGCCAAAAAATAGAGCTAGAGCCAAGTCTGAAGGTGTAACCCTGTGACGACTGCTGCGTAGCCAGGTCGTCAACCCAAGAGGCGTCCGAGTGACAAGTGAGGACAACTGGACCCCGTCGTCCAAGCACGAGCCCCATGCCCGACGTACTGCACAAGTAGCGCATCACCCTCTTAGCGGCCTTCCAGTGCTCTGGTCGGTGTCTCCCGGGCGCAATGTAGCATGCAAGGATGCTAAGAGGGTAAGCGAGGTCAGGACGAGTGCAGGTCATCAAGTACATGAGACAGCCCACAAGCTCTGGATACGGGCCACTCAGCTCTATGGACTCATCCGAAGGCAGAGCTGAGAGCGAGTGACCGCTAGGCAGAGGAGTGGACTGTGATGAGGAGTGCTGGAAGTCAAAGTGTTGAAGGACCTGCTGCACCATGTGTGACTGAGTCTGGGTAATGGTGCGCCGTGCTCTGTCCCGGGTGATCTGCAAGCCAAGATAGCTACGCAGCTCACCAAGGTCTGTGCACGTGTGTCTCTTCTGCAGCTCCGACTTCACTAGAGTTAGTGCCTCAGTGTCAGCAGTGGCACCCAGTCGTCAACGTACACGAGGATGTAGAACGACGACAGCGAAGTGTCGGTGCGTAGAAACAGTGACGGGTCAGCAGTGGAAGGGGCGAACCCAAGATTCGCAAGCGTCGTCCTCAGTGTGTCGTGCCACTCACGAGGGAGGGAGAGGGGCAGTGCGGTAGGGAAAGAGACGGTAAAAGGGGACCGAATCGTCAAAGGTGACGTCCTAAGATACAAAGACATGGCGCGAGGCAGGGTCGTAAAACTGCCAGCCAGGCGCGTCAGGGTGAAAGCCAAGGAAGACGCAGGGAATAGCGCGAAGGGAGAGCTTGTCCGCAGTGGTATCGCTGACAAAGGGACGAGCACCCGAGACCCAGAATCGCGACGCGTCGGAGGAGAACTCACCACCTCTGTCAGAGTGCAGACGCAGGACAGGAAAGTCCGACTCGAACCGCTCGCGGAGCTAGAGACGAACAGCGCGGATCTAGGGGATCAAAACAGCAGGGACGTCCCCCTTGCGCTGCAAGGGGAAGACCGTGGTGTAACGCATGTAGTCGTCGACTACCAGCAGGAAGTACCGCTCGCGGCCCTGCCCCTGGACGCGGGCTGGGCCCCACACGTCCAGGTGTAGAGTCTGCAGTGGAGCCTCTGTGGGAGGAAACAAGGAGTGAGGAGCGGCACGCTGCCGCCCCTCGACGCAAGGAATGCAGGGCGGCGCAGGCGAGGGAGGGAGGGAGGGAAGAGACCTGGGAAGACCAGAGACCATGTAGCGAGAGTGCAAGCCACGAAGGCGAGGCAGGGAGGGGTGACCAAGGCGGTGGTGCCAAAGGAGAGTCTGGTGCGACAGGCGACGCCACTCACACTAGGTAGCTACCTGAGCGGACACGTACAGCTAAGGAGACAAAGGGGTGTAGCGCGACGCGGTGGTGAGGGTATACAGACCGGACCCTGGCGCACGTGTGAACGTGGCCTGGTGGAGAAGTGGGGTGACGCGGTAACTGCAGTCGGTCACTAGGTAATGGTGGGCCCGAAAAAAAAAAAAAAACGGTCTTGCGGACCTATTGCTCTGATACCATGTCAGAATCAACGAGCAGGAGTGAATGAACTAGAATGAAGTTGGGTACAAGTATGAAACCCTAAAGGGGCTATACCCCATATTGGCTACCCCACTACAGCTTAGACATATATAGCATAAATCTAATTTGACACGTTCTCCAAGCACGAGCCCCATGCCCGATGTACTGCACAAGTAACGCACTATCATCTGCGCAGCTATCCAGTGCTCCTTCCTGTGTCTCCCAGGCGCAACGAAGCGAGCAAGGATGCTGAGAGGGTACGCGCGGTCAGGCCATGTGCACGTCATCTGGTACATGCGGCAACCCACAAGCTCAGGATACGGGCCACTCGGCTCTACGAACTCGTCTGAAGGTGGAGTTGAGGGCGGGTGGCATGTAGGCAGAGGAGTAGGCTGTGGCGAGGAGAACTGAAAGCCGCTGAAGGACCTGCTGCGTCATGTGTGACTGAGTCAAAGTGATGGTACGCCATGCTCTGTACCGGGTGATCTGCAAGCAAAGATAGCTACACAACTCACCCCGGTCAGTGTAAGTTTGTGTCTTCTGCAGCTCCGCCTTCACAAGGCCAGCGCCTCAGTCTCAGAAATAGCAAAATTCAAGTCGTCAACGTACACGAGGATATAGAACGGCGGCAGAGAGGGGTCGGTGCGCAGAAACA